CTAACCTCCACCAGGCTTAAAATATATTATAAAACCCATTCATTCCATCTATTTTATTCTTTATTGGTTTACTTTGTATACCTTACTTACAAAATATTTGTTTAAACATTTCGATGAAGAAATTATAATTTTCAATGCGAGTACATTTTCAAAACACTTTTTTTACATCAAATTTAGAATATATTTTTAAGAAAAACTGCGACATACATTTAGAGTATTTATGCACTAATTTAAAATTCATCAATACTTTTAAACATTATTTCAGATAATGCCCAAGTGTTAAATTATTAATTCATATATATATAGGCACAAATAATCCTGAAAAGGCATTATCTGCATTTTGACCCCCCTCCAAATAAAAAAAAAATCAATAGAAAGTTTATGACAACTTTTTTAATAGTGTAGTTTTTAAAAATATACTTCAAAGAATTGAATATCATTTGTTCTTTTTTTTTTTGGCTAAAACCAAACGCGTTTTGCTCATTTTCTGAAAACCTGGATTTTGCAGATAATGCCTCTTTCCTAATCAGGGTAGTATAGTTATTGCATTTTAGAAATGCACTGTGTAGATTATGTTGTATGATTTAAAGTTGGGAGGGCACTAAGTATATACCATCACAGTCATACAGTAGGTATTATGAGGGTCAGTGGAATTGTAGGTCAGAAGATGTCAACTGCAATTGTGTGAAAGAAGGTATTTAGTACTATTGAAATGTAAGTCTATGTATCGTATGTATTTGGTAGGTATTTCCCAGAAACCATTAGAGCAACCTTAGTGCGGCGATTTTTCCCTTGTTAGTGACCACCAACCACACAGTATATGACTGCGTAGGATAATGATATCATTTTTACAGAACATAAACCAAGGTACTAATACGTTTAAAAGATACAAAACCAAGTTGTTGCTGATTCGAATTTAAGGACTGGAATTAGTTAATTCAGGAAATACATAAATTAAAAAAAATAAAAAAAAATTATAAACTGCATTCCTGTCTCATGGCACAATTTTGGTATGATAAATTTTGGTAATTTAATTGGCTACTTAGCTGACCCCAGGTGTGTTGAGAAATCATTTACGGAAGCACCTAAGTGCTATTCGGCTTGACGATTTGTCAAGATAATTATGCTGTCAAGTCGACATATTACATAACATGTCGACATAACGAGATCAACTATCTTGACAATTTGACATAATAAAAGTTGTATGTTGTCATGGCGAGATAAATTATCTTGACAAGTCGACATAGTAAAAATGTTATGTTGTCATGGCTATATAGGTTATCTTGTCAAGTCGACATAGTAAAAATGTGATGTTGTCATAGTGACATAGACCATTTTTTTGTCATAATTTATGATGTTGTTATACCAACAACTTGCAAACTCGATATTATAATACTCATTATCACTTTTAATTATTATTAATTGTGTTTACATCTCTACATCTTTCTTCTACTTGAATTTTTCTACTCCTTTTTCAGACCTGCCAACCCTTGGGTCTTGAAAATCTTGAGATTTTTTTTAAAATCCTAATAAAATCTGGAGATTTCCCCAAAAATCTTTAAGTTTCCAGAATTAACCAAAAAATATGATGCAAAATCCGAAAAAAGTCACGTCACTACAAATCAGTGGCTGTTAATGGTGACATTCGAATTGAAAATGGCTATTTGTTTATTGCATCACGAAACAAGCAGGTGGCAAATACATTGAATAATAACGATCAAATTATGCATACATCAGAAGAACTGGAGATTTTTTTTAAATATCAGGTGACATCCGACTGGATCAATTGAGTTGGTAGGTCTGCCTTTTAAAATTGTTACTTTTTTTGCATGTTTGCGAAACATGTAATAAAACAGACTTCGCGCTCGGATATTTCCTTCATTATTTCGGCGCCGGTAAACGTGCAAGATCGTGTGAAGAAACAACCCATGAAAATTGGCAAGATAAATTATGTCGCCATGACAACATAACATTTTTACTATGTCGACTTGACAAGATAACTTATCTCACCATGACAACATACAATTTTTATTATGTCGACTTGTCAAGATAATCTATCTCGCCATAACAATATAGAAGATACAAGATACAAGATTCTTTTATTGTCAATTGTACATAAAATACAAGTAAAATTCGTCTTCCCGATGCAAAAATAAAATTAGTATAAAAGTTAGACATATAATAAATTAATCAAGGACATAAATAAAACAGAAAATACAAACTGATACAATTATTTACAAGGGTTAGTTACTGAAGTTTATTTATTAAAGTCATCATTGTACATATGGATTGAGTTGTGAATAAAAGATCTTCTTAATCTATTTGTATTGCACCTAATTGGACGTAATCGACAGGATCTATTATAGGTGTATTGCAAGAACATAGGATGCGACATGTCTTTAATTATGTTATCCAACTTCTTCAGCACAGTTCTTGTATATATGTCATCAAAATTATCGACATCAGAGCCGATAGTTTTACGAGCAGATTTCATGGTAGTTTATGTTTATTGACCTGAGATAAGTTGATGTACCATTAAAATATAGTTGCTAACAAGTATACTTGTACACTTAAAAAAAAAATAGTAATACCTCAGTGCTGACATTGAAGGACTTGAGTTTACGTAAAAAGTAAAGACGTTGATTAGCTTTGTTACAGAGTAGCAGTGTGTTAGAGTTCCAGTTGAGTTTCGAGTCAACAATAATTCCTAAGTATTTACGTTCAATAACGATATCAATATTGTTTCCACTTACACTAATAGCATTTAAAGGCGTTTTGTTTTGACGAAAATCAAATATGATCTCTATAGTTTTAGAAGCATTTAGTTGGAGATAATTATCTTTACACCACGTTTCAAATCGATTAACACAATTTCTATAGGCAAGTTCGTCTCCTTGGTGTAGGCCCTATTATGCCTGATATAGAGCTATCATCTGCATATTTAATCATGATACAGTTATCTTCAATTTGAAATTCGTTAGTGTATAGCGAAAGCAAGATAGGGGATAGTACGCAAACCTGGGGAGCGCCTGTATTAGTGTGTAACATATCTGACTTAAGATTACCAATCCTAACTACTTGATTTTACTATGTCGACATGACAAGATAATCTATATATCTCGCCATGACAACATACAATTTGTATTATTTCGACTTGTCAAGATAATCTATCTCTCCATGACAACATACAATTTTTATTATGTCGACTTAGGTGCTTCCGTAACAGTTTGCCAATCCAATACAATGGTATTAAAATACGATGCGATATGCACATGGGTAGCTAATATGCAAATGAGGTGGTATATAACGTTGTGAAGACAGACGAATCGTCCTCTGCTCTAGTGTCGATTGTCAAGTGAAAACAGCACAGTTCGTGCCTGCCGTTATGTTGTAGGTTAGGACCAAGTGAGGCAGAGAATAGCAAGGCGGTTGTGGATCCCGCGTGCTACAGTAGACGCCTACCAGAAATTATCGTGGTAACATTTCGGGTTGTTGTGGCGTTCACTTGACACAGGATCATTGCATTCCATTGAGCTATTCGTTGTGTACGGTGAGTACTTTGTAATCGCTTAGGCCTTTGAATGTATTGTATTGTATATTGTTATTATTCATTGAAATATCCCGCATGAAATGTGTTAATATCCATATCATGTGCATATCTTGTTCTCGTAATTTTGCATGGTTGGCTATTTTAATTTTAAGGCTGAATCCTTGGTACGAATTGATCGCTCGTCTGACGGAATATTGGTCTTAGCAGACGCATGGTGTTCGCAACACATGTATATCAAGACAGAGCGGTGATATACAGTAACAGTCGGGTGTCCAAAGCGTAGTAAAAGAGGCGCGTCAATGTCTTTAGCGTAGCGGAGGAGGACACAGAGTACGAGGACTTGTGTGGTGGGAAGTTTTGATTTTATTTTTCGTTTTATGTATATCATGTCCATTCTATATCAATTATATATAAAAAGTGTAATTTGTTGGATATACATAAACATTTATTGGATAGACAATTATAGTACGTTGTTTGTACTATATCTGATTATCATTTCCATTATTATAGATTGATATGATTTGTTGGATATTCATGATAATTTATTGGCGAAACAATAGTTCGTTGATTGTAATAACTATGTCTGATTACCATGTCCATTATTATAGATTTATATAATTTGTTAGATATATATATATATATAACTGATTGGGTAGACATAATTTTGTTGTACTTATGTCTGACATAAGTATCTTGAATATAATTTATTTGATATGCATGCCATTCGGTTGGATAGACATGATTAAAGTTTGTTTATGAAATTCAATTGATGAAAACAGTGTTTTGTGTTCTATAAAATTCTAGGTGTGCAACACAAAATGTAACGGTCTTGTTGAGCGTTTTAACGGTACCTTAAAGTCAATATTAAAGAAACTTTCTCAGGAAAGACCCAGGAATTGGGATTGTTACGTGAACGCACTTTTATCTGTATATCGGGAGGCAACCCATGAGGCTACATGATTCTCCCCATTTGCGGTTTTTTATAGGGGAAATGAAAGAGGTTTGTAAAAATTAAGACCGCCTGAAAAAAAAAAATACATAAATGCACAGACGTATTTAGCCCTTTGGTACACACGATATGCCAAACCTGAGCTACCGTGCCCACAATTATGTAGTTTTTACGCATGCGCTAGAATTTTGCGTCGAAAAGGCGATCGAATTCTGTTGTAAAATATAACAAAAATATCGTTTTTTTTGCATAATTTATACAACTCTCTAAATCAAAAATCCCTCGAATGATTACATTCCCTTTTAGAAACTCGATAGCATTTATGATAACAAATTAGAAAAGTAGAAACTACATAATTCCAGGCACGGTGCGGTGGGTTTATGAAAGGGTTAAAAGGACGCGCGCAAAAAAAATTGCATCACGAATACGAACATATAGCCAAGATTTTTAATAACATTATAATAGCATTGTTGTACAATTTCAGACTGCAGTTTGCCTTACCTTTAAGTTTTGTTCTTAGTTCTTGTTTGTCCTGAGCTTTAGTAGCTTCGATGTATTTACGACATTGGTTTTTGGTGTACAAATCCAGAGGTGTCTTTCCATCCTATACAAGAAAACAAGAGAATATGATAATGGATGGTTATAACGATGCAAATTAGTTGGTTTTTTTGGCATTAAAAAGTCTCATAGTTATCCAATAAAGTTATATAACCTACCGAAATGTTGAAAATACTATTACATACCTGAATATGCTAATCTTTAGTACAATAGGTATTTTAATCAATCGGCACAAGTCAAAATAGACAAGTGATTTTCAGCTTGAATGCAGCAATTTTATCTTGTTTTGAAAGCAGATATCATTTCTGAGATATGTAGCCCCCTCCCTCCTATAATACAATATTTGAGTTATAATCTATTAATCAATTTGTAGTTTTATTGGCTTTCAAAATCTAAAAAGAGTTTGATTTGACAAAAGTTTTGACCTTCACGCCCCTTTTTTTGAACGGTCTAATTACGATGAAATCTTTGGAAGTAATATCGTTTACACGACACAGCTCCATGTTTTTTTGCGAGTGTTCTGTCCAAAGTAACTACTATATAAATTGTGTTTTTTAAAAATAATTTACATATAAAACTTATATTCTAGTGAGTGTACATATTTGTGATACATCTATGTATAAACTCTATTATATGTACTATATAACTGAATTCGTAATTTTAAAAAAGTATTAAAAGTATTACACCTTCACTATTTTATGTAAATGTGATACAACATTATACAGGCTGTTTGCTTTTCGTTGTTACCCTCCATCCTTATCTCATTTATTATTTTATATTTTTAATTAATTTTGATGGAAATAAAAGTCGTATCGTATCGTATCTTAATTGACTGTAGCCTATAATCCATTCCTAGCATAGGTAGGGATTATAGATAATTCTCCTTTTTTGTATGTCGTAAATGTATTAAAATTTAATATAAATTAGTCCCTCCCAATTAGGGAGCAGAAATACTTCTTTTTTTTTTAATTTTTTGTTTATTTTAGGCCTTGGCCTATGGCAGGCAAAGCTTTAGCTTAGGAGGATGGCCGCAGACCACTTCTGATTATTCTTGGCCTAATCCTCCTAAGATTTAATATTAATTAGTCCCTCCCAAGTAGTTAAAAATACGAGTTTCGGAAATACTTCTTTTTTAAAAATTCTTTTTTTTTATGTTAGCCCTTGGCCTATGGCAGGCAAAATTTTAGCTTAGGAGGATGGCCACAGACCACTTCTGGTTATTCTAGGCCTAGAAGGATTAGGACTAGTTAGTAAATAGGCCTCAGCCGATTGTCCTGTATACGACCGTACCAAGACTAAAAATTTTATCTAAAGTCGTTTCATCATTAAGAAAATAAAAAGAGATAATATCTCCCAAACCGTAAAAATGAAGTTGAATTTACTTTAGGATCTTATACAGAAATATCAACTTGTTAATAGTTGGCGATGCTAAAAACCTAAAACTGGAAGTCGTTGTTCGCGATTATGCAGTAAAACAAGCTCTGCGTTCAATTAAATAATTTTAATGTTATGCAATTTAAACAAATCATATTAGACCTTCATTACTTATTACGATATTTTAGGAAATACTACAAGTGAAAAAATAAGACTATGAATATCAAAGTCCAGTTAATGTTTATTACGTTCCATCAAGAAGACAAAAATGTTGATTGGTTTTATTATACTTTTTATTTTAAATTTCTTTCACGTTTCTTTACATATGTTTTCTTATTAAACAAAAGTTGATTAAATTTTAAATGTACATTACCTTATCTTTTATCAAAACTGACGTTGACGCGCCATAATCAATCAAGCAACTTGTAATTTTGTTGTGTACATCAAAACTGTGCCAACCATGCAGACAGTAATGAAGTGGTGTGCGTTTACTCTACAATAAAATAATAAATTTTAATAATAATGTCAATATATAAAAGACAATAAGATTGACTTGGTAGATCAGAAACACTAAATATATTATTCACATGAACGTTTCGCGCTGTCCTCGGGCCTTCTTCGGCATGAGTGACAAACATTATGTAAGGTGGCTGTTACAAAAATCTCGATATAATATAAAGAATAAATTTAATGGTCTAAAATTGGTTGTTTGAGGTGTTTCCGTTTTCATGATGCTCTTTCACAATAAGCTTAGTCATCCATTGTCCTTTTTAATGAATTATTTAATACTTCAAATTCTTGCTCGAAGTACTCCCTCTATGTCTATCT